TAAATTTCTCTAAATCTGTTCCAATGAAGATACAAACTCATCTACATCTTGGATGGCCTGAGTGTGAATACATTTTAAATAAAAGTTTATTTTGGTTGTACTACGGGGCCACTGAATGTTTAAATCTGATTATCTGACGAACGTCCCGTCGTCAGTTATTCCTGAATTATTCCTTTAAATTTTTTCAAACAAAGCATCATACATTTCAGACATGCGAGGTTTTTTTTGAACATTTGAGAATATTAGAGAATTAATTATTCTGATTCATTTAAAGAAGTGGTAAAAAGGGAAGTGGAGTTGTTGTCCCATGCTCAAAATAATTTCTCAGCAAAAAGGATTTCAATCAGTCATGTAGAAACAGTTAGTGTGTGCTGCTGTTAATAGAAGTCTGAGAAAAAACAGACCTCAAAATCCCACATATCATGGGAACAGGGAAAATAAATACACAAATGCTGTTCAAATAACAGTTCTTCTTCTCCTCTCCTCAGATCTGAGGAGTGCCAGCTGTGTCAGAAAACACCAGCCAAGAAAGCAGATTGAAAAAATCTCTAAAGGAAACTGCATGGACATTTTCTCTTGTGTGTTATGATGCAGTCTTAAGTTAATATTATTCTTGGAACTTATTTCTTGATTATGTTGTAATGAATGAAAGATGGGATTTTTGTTTCCATCATATCTATAAGAGCTGTTATGCTGTTTACTGAGATTCCTCTCCGCCTCATTGGACCATATTGGAGACTTCAAGCTTTAGAGGGAGATGTCACCATAACCTCAGGCCGCCCTGCCCTATACCAAATAAACCAACTGTCCATCTGTGTCCAGTCTACTTAAAAGCAATTTATGGCCTTTTGAAAAGTTTTGCTTATCACAATGATGTTTTCGAAAATGAACTTACAGTTGCACATACATATCCTGCATATTCTGAATAAATGAAGACATGAATATTCTCACCTTTGCCATTTGTTATGATGCAATTTTGTGATTTTGACCAGAATTTGGTCTTATTCTACTATACTTGAATGTACAGTAGTTCAAAGATTTTTTAAATAAGACTTTCATTCAGCAGAGGATGCATTAAATTGATCAAAAGTAACAGTAAAGACATTTATAATGTTACAAAAGATTTTTCAAATAAATGCTGTTCTTTTGAACTTTGTTCATCAAGGAATCTGGAAAAACTGTTTGTAAACTGTTTTAACATTGATAATAATAATGAATGTTTCTTGAGCATCAAATCAGCATATTAGAATAATTTCTGAAAGATCACGTGACAGATTACTGGAGTAATGATGCTGAAAATTCAGCTTTGCCATCACAAAAGTTAATATTGCTATTTTTACTGTATTTTTGATTAATAAATCCAACCTTGGCAACTTATTTAAAAAACATTACAACATTTTAGCAACCGCAAATTTTTTGAATGGTTATATGATTTCTAGATCTGAACTGAATTACTGGCATTTCCAGAAAATAACAGTTCATTATTCAAACCTTGCAATGTTTCAATCCTACAGTTTCCTTTTGGTTACCAGCTCAGATCTTTCAGATTAGGGCTACACCACCCAAAAACCCTGAAAGACAACTTCAACCTCAAACCCATAATGACAACTTCAATGATAAACAAAAATATTTTTTTTTTTAATTAATCCATTTATTTTAAGATATAATACAATACTTTGTTCATTTTCAAGTGAAAAGCACAAACTGGATTATGGAGATCACTTTTGAGATGCGATTTGCTCAGAAGCATGAATCCTCTATGAAGTTCTATTAATAAGCAATCAGCTATGAGAAAAAAAACAGACGTGGAAAAAAATGAAAGTTCTTGCAGCAACAGGAAAACAGCTATGAGAGCACATTCCAAGTGAACTCTGGATTAGACAATGAGGGGTGGGACAAAACTGTATATTTTAAAATCTGTAATCTAACCCCTAAATCAAGAACATTGCTCAAAGTTTGCTTTACACTTATCGAGATGGAGTCGATCAGGGAATGTTTATTTCCAAGCGGAAGAAGACTGTTTCTTCTCCGAGACGCAGTTTCTTGTTTTCGGTTTATCAACTCGAGATTTGACTAGAGATATAGGCCTATGCCACGACTCGTTATGGTCTGCATTACGGCGATCTACGCAATATTTCGCTTGAGGAAATAGGACTGATCGGATTGTGAGTGAATGAAACCTGAACTGTAAAGAGTTTAACTGTAGAGTTTACACCGAGAGTACCAGGATGTGGAAAAAGTTAAGGATCCAGCACATCTGGATATGACTTGCGCCGCTGATTTCACTATAGTCGCCGTTAGGAGATAATAGTTTTGTTTTGAGTAATGAGAGACGATTTTCATAAACAGATGAAGTTTGATAAACTTAATTCGTGAGTGAGCGCAAGACGAAAACCAGGTAAACCACCCTTCATGTTTTACTAATCTCTTTTTTTTGTATCTCTTTCTCTCTCTGAAATTGCTCATGGTTAACGTGTCGTAATTTATTAGGCTATATGAATGCTATTTAGAGTGTAAAGTTGATAACGTTTTGAATGAAAGGGTCATGAATAATTGATAAATGCTAAGGTGAGAGCTCTTCCATTGTAAAGAGGCAGAAGTAACTGAAATTTAGCAGCAATTTTATTAAGAAAGAGAGAACCACAGCAAGTTGAAAAACACAAATCAAAGTCGTTTTTCCCCCTTTAAATTCCTATTAGAGAAATTTTCTCTTTACAGGCGAGTTGATAGCAGAAAAGTATTTAAAATATGTGTTACAGCTCAGTGATTTTTAAATGTGTGTAATGTCTAATAATGATGCAGTATCTGAGACTTGGGTGATGTTGTCATACAATAATGTGCTAATAAATGTGGGCTGCATCACATATCACATTGCCTACGTATTAGAATTAACTACAATAATTTAAATAACTTAACCATTAAAATAGTTTAAATATACCAGCATTCTGTGTAGACGTCTTTGCACGTCATGTTTTACAAGAATCCTTGTTGCATTCACTGACACAAACAGAGCTCTAAATGAAACCCACATCTAGTTATCATGAACCGTGAGGTCAGTTCATTTATCTCTGTAACTGTGAAATGCTGGTGCTTACAAATACGTTGAGGCATACCAGTCCTTTTTAACTGCAGCCAAAACAGGCAAGTTCCAACAGCTGCAAGATGGAGTCAGAGATATGCTGCTGAATGCTGAATTACCCCTTAACTATTTAAAAATCCTGAGTCAAACTCTTCATTCATTTCTTTAGGTTAACAATATTGATTATTATGGGCAGTTATACTTTTGGGAGGTCCTGCAGAGTGACATGCTATACGCCATCTGATTCTGAACTATTTTTAATTGAATTTTGCTCATTCTTTTATAGTTGTTATCATTATACATGCAGCTTTTTCATAGCTTAAAATGAACTAGTGAATGCAAAAAGTGAGTAAAACGGTTCACTGTCACTTATGCATTCATAAAAATTGTAACCCAAAATGTTAAAATAAAAAAGCATTCTCTATATTCACACTACCCAACAGGGTAAGTCACTTTAGTATAGTTAGTATTAGAAATAACAGTAACATAAATGTAAATATAAATGACAAAATGCTGAGCAGCCAAGGGGTTTATTCTATTTCAGAGAATGAGTCCTGAGAAAAGTGGAAGGAGAATTAGAAAGTGCAGTTTGTTCCCATGGGTCTTCAGACTGCTCTCAGAGAGAATGCTGACAAGCAGGCCATCGAAACAGGAATCGCATTTCATCATGTTCACTTTAGGCTTTGATTCAAGACAGACACTATCTGATTTGAGAAACATCCTGGCAGCTTGGAAATAAAGATCAGTGTACCCAGAGAGAAGAGAGCATTTCCAAAAGGGTGGGGTGGTTTTCCGCTTTAAATGTGCCACAGAGGGCCTAGCAATTACCCATTTTTTTGTGCACCAAGCGTACGTGACAAAGTTGTTTACACTGACCCACCTGCACTTACACTGGTGGGCTTAAATGGAAGACTTAAAAGACTACTTCTCAGACAAAGTGACTCATGCTGGAATCTCACTGTATGTGTTTCTATATCAAGAAGTGGTCATCATCATTTCCAGTTACCCATTATTTGTGTGTGGGCTTGCATCCCACCATTCATTTATATCAAATGTATTGCAGATAGCAACAAATGTCACAGATTAAATAGATTAAACATTCAAGGAAACTTCTCACACATATTGCTGAAGGCAGTTTTATGTATATGATATTTCTTCAGAAGGGAAGGATCAACTCACATCAACTCTGGCTCTAATTACCGATCCATTTCAAAACATCATGGCTGACTCGGTTTTTCCATGACATCACATAAGTATAAAGTATGCCTACTTTAATTATAGTGTTGGGGCTACACAAAATGTTCTGTTGTTTTCAGCATCCTACTGTTATATAGTGATCACAAAATGAATTCGGACAATTTGGGACACTTAATCAGTTAAAAATGTATGAATGTCATTGCTTTAGATAAAAAAAAAAAAAAGCAAACATACAGGCATCTATGCAACGATTCTAGAGATTAGAGATTTTCTCAGAATTCTATATATATATGACCAAAAACTAAATATTAACAGTAAAAATATTTATACGTAAATTTTAGTATTATTAGTTTAATAATTAATATCATTAGTTTAATACAATAAAAAAATATAGAATTATATATAAACAAAAAAACTAAATGTATTATATTAAAAACATTTTATATAATTTCAAAATTTTAAACAACAGAAATATTTTAGATAGATTAGATAAAAGACATTAATGTCAAGAAAAGAAAATGTACTTCATACAGGTCTAAAAACAAAAAATCAAAATATATATTAGTATTAAAATATTTATATTTCATATATTAAATGTTTCATGTAATATTTAGAAAATTTTAGTGAAATAATTTTATAAATAATCTATATACAACAAAACAGTGTAGTTTTCATCAATTGCTTGTTGAAAGTGTCCTTGGCCTTGAAGGCCAACACTTCAGCATGCAGGTTTTCCATCTTCTTCATATAATATGTTTTCACTCAGCCATTTTGCTTGCGTGACCAGTCGACTTCCAGACCTAGAGGAACAAGCAATCTGGAGTATCTGGACGGCTAGCCGGGTGCGGCCTCTGAATGGCAGGAAGTATAGCCATCAATATTTACTCTGTGTGCAGTAGCCAGAGTGTCTGCGAGGACCAGCGGCACAGAGGAGAGCGAAGCCTCCACTAAAGCCCTCTCCCACCCATTCTGACTATAATTGCAGTGCAGACAGACTGACTGGACCCTCTCCATCTGTCGTCCTTTAACTCGTGACTTCCTTTGGTGCAGACAGGGGATATTGTGCTTTTTTCCATTAGGGCTTGTAAAGAGATTCCAACACTACATGTCACTGTATGATTACGCCATTATATGATTCCAGCATGGAGCGATGCCTTGTAAATGCCAGATCATCGAAGGATGGTGCAAGGGAGCATGGGATATATACATAAGAATAAATGGAAGGAGCTGGAAGTGTTTTTTTGTGTCGAAGTCACGCTTCGCTCTTACCCTCTATTCCCTCTTTCTTAGACACGAAGGCTTCTGAGATGCTCGCTGTACTGTTTGTTTTGGTGTATTCAAGGAGTTACGCAACTCTCGCAGGTGAGGTTATATAATTGCAGACAGTCACACAAAATTGTATGTATGCATATTTCTGAGTGTTGCATGAAAACCAGCCGGGTGATGTAGATATTTGTTTCCTGAGTAGACAATCAGCCAGAGGAAGTATGTATCTTCCTGCTCTGCTTCGACATCTTGTTAGACACGGTTGCAAACAAACACGTTTCTTTTTTCAGATCACGTTTTGACGGACTCTCCCCCAGAAAATGGTGAGTATGTTGTCATATACTGTATATATAATCAACTGAAATACTGTAATGTTATTCACACATAAAATTGTTACTTACATTATCCCTTTCTTGTCCATAGCTGAAGGCGAGGAGGGTGTTTTACAGTGCAGCTGTGAGAACACATATGCCTGTGTAAACAACACCTGCTGGGGCCCTATTTGCTTCTACAGTTCGGTCCATGAGCGGGTAGTCAGGGGCTGTTTTCCCACCAACGAGCAGTGCCATGTGCCTGATGTACCCGGATTGTATGCCAAATGCTGCTTCACACACCTCTGCAATGCAAACCTCATTGTGCCTGAAAAAACAGGTAAGTCATTTTTTTTTAGCTCAGAAAACAGTTACTCATTTTACAGTTAATACAGCGATTAATTAGTAAAATTAAAGACTCTTTTGCCTTGGTTGTCCTGACATTATAGAAGTTTGCTCTCTGCTGACTCCTACTGTTATATTGGTGTTTGGCCATGGTTTAATTAAACTTATGTTTAAAGGGATAGTTCACCCAAAAATGAAAATTCTGTCATTAATTACTCACCCTCATGTCGTTCCAAACCTGTAAGACCTTCGTTCATCTTTGGAACACAAATTAAGAACATTTTTATGCATTCCGAGAGCTCTCTGACCCTCCCATAGACAGCAAGAATCCTTACACGATCAAGGCTCAGAAACGTTGCAAGGGAGATCGTTAAAATAATTCATGCGACATCAGTGGTTCAACCGTAATTTTACGAAGCTACGAGAATACTTTTTGTACTTTACATCTAATGCAGTGATATTCATACTTTTTAAGTGATTAAGTCTCCAGAAATGTCCGAATTCATTTTGAGGCCACTATATAACAGTAGGAATGCTGAACACAACAACATTTTCATGCCAAAGTTTAATCTTTTAAAAGAACGTAAAATGTGGCTATGCAGCACTGTTTTTTCAGCTGGTCTGGTACAGTGATGTTACACTCTAAAAAATGCTGGGTTAAAAAGGGACAAACCCAGCTATTGGGTTGTTTTGACCCAGCGGTTGGGTTCAAAACAACCCAACCGCTGGGTCAAAACAACCCAATAGCTGGGTTTGTCCCTTTTTAACCCAGCGCTGTTATATTTAACCCAGCATTTTTTAGAGTGTACTGTCTGTTGTGTCTGTTTCCAGTGGAAAAGCCCATCAGAGTGATTCTTCTGGTGGGAGTGCCGTTGTTGGTGCTGCTGGTGTTGTCGATGGCAGCCTGTGGGCTCGTGTTGTGGCTGCGTACGAGGCGACAGCACCACCAGCTGGTGGAACACGACACTTCCATGCTCAAAGTCCCCAGTGGAGGGGACCCAACATATGGGGTAAAACGCTACTGCTGGCTGGCATTCACAGCTTTTTCTTCACTTCATTATTTGTAATGAGCTTATCTTAATGATTATTATCTGATTTTTGCACTCTTATTTACATTAGAGAAAAATCTCTGTTGTTTCTCAAAGACAACAATGAGATTCAATGGAGAGAAAATGTTATCTATGGAGAAGATACCCTTGTAATCTCAAATGTGTCTCACAATGTCATAAACTGTTTAAGATACCAAAGTTTGTAATCAAAAGAGGAGAAACATCTGAGACAAAGTTTTTTAGTTAGTTTTAGTTTGTTAGTTAGAACTGAGATTCAGTCTCCAGAGCAGCCTCTGAGCAAAATGTTCCTCTAAGTTGTGATTCAAATTGTGTGTGATTTTTCAGCTGGCTGGTAATCTAAGTGTGTGTAATTCTCCTTTTTAGGATATATTTGATGAGTTTTGTACGTCAGGCAGTGGGACCGGCCTGCCTTATCTGGTGCAGAGGACCATGGCGCGACAGATCTCTCTGGTTGAGTGTGTTGGTGAGAGAACATTCATATCTCATTCATTACACAATGCTGCATTGGCAGAGGTTGAAACAACTGCAGGGTGACGCTATGAAGTCTAGGAGTTTGAGATGTGTCATGGTGCATACTTTTTTTTTTTAAATACATGCTGTACAATATTGAATGTGAATGAGAGGGTGGTGGCATACTGATTTAAATGTACCTTACATTTAAATACTTTAATATTTTAAATGCTACCATAATTTAATAAATACTTTTTTACACTTACAGATTAAACTTAAAGATTACACTCATTTAAATCATATTAATTTATTATTATTATTATTATTATTGGTAGTAGTAGTAATATTGTTGCTGTTGTTGTTATTATTAATAATAATAATTTAATAAAAATAACTATTAAAATTTATTGTAACAATATTATTATTATTATTATCTATAAAAAAATTATTAAAAACTTTATTATTATTAAATTATATTTTGAAATATAAAAATAATAATAATGCAACAGTGCACTGATAATCACTATACACCACTATAATATGCATCTAATTTCATGATTAATGTTCCCCTCTGAACGTTTCTGACAGGTAAAGGGCGTTATGGAGAGGTATGGAGAGGCACCTGGATGGGAGAGAGTGTGGCTGTCAAGATTTTCTCCTCTCGTGATGAACAGTCCTGGTTTAGAGAGACTGAAATCTACAACACAGTCCAACTAAGGCATGAAAACATTTTGGGTAAGTTCCACCCACACTGTATTTTTCATTGTTAGTGTGGGAAGGGATCGTTCTGCTGCAGCCACAATATGTTCTGACTTACCCAAGCATTACACAACGTTTGATTCAAAATGTAATATTTCTCTCTTACACGTTCTCTGTCCGGCTATCAGGCTTCATAGCATCAGACATGACGTCTAAAAACTCCAGCACTCAGCTGTGGCTGGTCACGCACTTCCATGAGTTGGGCTCCCTTTATGACTTCCTGCAGTACAGCAAGCTGGACCCCGAGGGCTGCCTGCGCATGTGCCTGTCTATCGCCAGCGGCCTTGTGCACCTCCACACCGAGATCCACAGTACGCAGGGCAAACCGGCCATTGCACACCGAGACCTGAAGAGCCGCAACATTCTGGTGAAGAGAAATGGGCAGTGCTGCATCGCAGACCTGGGTGAGAAATTAGGAAAAAAACAGAAGAGTCTTTAGCACATAACACATTCCAAACCATTATTGATACAGAAATGAATGACTTCTCACATTGTCCTGTTTGTTGAGGGGTGATGTGTTTTGATTACCAGAGCATCATTGAGGCTTTAAGGTCCTGGGGTGGGACAAATTAGTAATCATCTAGCAAAATACAATAGCAACCACTGGAAGACCTTATGCTAAATATGCTAAAAACATTCAGAATACTTAAGCTACCGCACACCCTGGAAACCACCCATAACACTGTAGCAACCACAAGAGCGCCTTCGCTGTCAAATAAAAACATGCTAAAACACTCAGAACACTTAAGTAACCACACAGCATAAAACATGATAAAAACAGTCAGAACCAATTTAAACACTGTAGCAACTAGGGCTGAGTAAAAAAATATTGATTTGTCGATTTTAATCGATTCCCATATTTACAAAACAATATCGATAAAAATCGATTGTCAATTAGTCTAGCTTGTTTTCATTTAATGAACGGAACAGTAGCGCAGTAAGCGCAACTCCCATCCAATAAATCGCAATAAGCTTTGTGCTTTGTTACTTTTGATATAAAACAAAGTCTCAGATTTCAAATTCTGTCCATTTTATTACAGTATTCAAACAATAAATGCCATTTTGGCACTGTCTAATGTGGAGTGAGTGACAGATCGCTGTAGCGACTCAGTTAAAGAGAAGTGGCAGCGCATACCAGTAATACCAGTTTCAGCACAAAATAAACATGAATAAACGTCAGAAGGTTTGTTAAAAGAAAGACTACAACTTACTGAAATCCGTATCCTGTCTCATGTAATTGCTAAATCAATGGTTCAACCGTGCAAATTCATCAGTATAAAAGCTTGTAAACAATGTCACGTAATTTACCTCAGAAACAAACATATTAGGTGACCATAAACTTTAGCCATCTAGAAAAATGAACTCTAGAGAGTGGCATTTTGCTAAATATATGCACCATATAACATATTCATTATAATTTTTACTGTTCTTCAATGTTTAATTTGTGTTTGATTAAATCCATCAGTTTTTATGACAGCCACCATGTTTATATTTCAAAAACGAATTAGAGTAGAAATATAATTTTGTAATTGGAACTTTATTATTATTAAATCTTCATTGAGTGTAATTTAAGCATTTGTATATAAATCCTTTAATTTTAACCTTCAATATTATAGTAATGTAGTACCAACTGACTCTCATGTATTTTACAGCATTAGTTGAGTTTTTTTTCCTTGAGAAAATTTGCATGTACTGTACGTGATATACAGTATATACTGTATTGTGAAATTTGTGTCAAAACCCAGCCTTACTAGCAACCACCTAACAACCACCAAAGCACCTTTGATACCAAATTAAAACATTAAAAGAATCAGAACACTTAAGCAACTGCATATTAGCAACACCTTGGAAACCGCCCAAAACCTAACAACCACCAGAGCACCTCTGCAATCGGATGAAAACACCCTGGCAACAACCTTACAACCACAAGAACACCTTTCAACTGCATTAACACATGCTAAAACACCAGATCACCTTTGCTACCAAATAAAAACACTCAGAAACTTTTACACAACCACATAGCAACACCCTGGCAACCACCTAAAATACTGTAGCAACAAGCGGCAACCTTCCGGTCTCTCTCTTGAAACCAACACGGAAGTGACTTAAAGGGGTGGTTGATTGCGATTTCACTTTTTTAACGTTAGTTAGTGTGTAATGTTGCTGTTTGAGCATAAACAATATCTGCAAAGCTACGAAGCTGAAAGTTCAATGCAAACGGAAATGTCGTCTTTTAAAATTCTGGCAGTTTAATGCCTACAAAAACAGCTGGTAGGGACTACAACGAGTTACTTCCCGGGTTCGTGACATCACAAACCCAGATAAACCCCGCCCTCGGGAAAAGGCAGCAAAGGGGGCGAGGCCATGCTGCGCTGCTTTAGAGAAGAGGAAGAGAAAACTAGGGGTGCACTTAAAAATCTATTCATATATGAATCGCGCTTCTGTCTTCTAATGATTCTAATGGATTCATAAGTTTCTAAATCAATGTTCTAAAGCAGCGGTTCTTAATACTGTTCCTCGCGTCGCCTGCTCGGCCTCTCTCTCTCTCATTCAGATCATCAGCTCAGTTCTGTTCCATTTATACACTTATTTTCACATAGCTATGAGAAGCGTTAAACATGGACGCGCGTGCAGTTGCCGTACTGTATTAAAGCTTTAATCAGGATAAAACCGTATATTAAAAGCTAACATAAGCAGTAGCCCGTTTCTCAGAGAAGGGACAGAGCGGTGTGGAATAAAGGTAAATTATGTGAAAAATAATGAGTTCTTTAAAAAACGAAGCATTAACACATGTTAGACTGCACCCCATAAACACAATCAAGCCTAGAAAAAAGCCAGTGAACCACCCCTTTAAACTGCAATTCATCGACTGGCTGCTAGAGACTGGCTCCAAAAGGGAGTCAATCCCATAGACCCCCCATGTTAAAATGCCCAACTTTACAGCAGAAAAAAATGTTTACAGCCTGGTACAAAAAGTGGTTTTGGTCTATATAGCTAATTTTGCCCTTCATGACAACTGTGAGGGGGGTGATTTTTTTTATAACTCATCCGTTTAAATTATATTAACCCTTAAAGTTCTGCATAATTAAGGGAATGGCCACTTGAGTGACAAGTGGATTGCCGCTGCTGTCACCACCATTGAGCTAGGTGGGCGTGGTTTCAGCAACCAGCTCCACCCACGTCCCGTCTCTTTGCCCATTTTCGATTATCCGAGAGTGACGCGCTGCCAAGATGGCGACGGCCGGCTCCACCCACTTTAAGCTTCAAAAATGCTCTTCAGAAACCTATGGGTGATGTCATGGACACTACGTCCATGTTTTTTTACAGTCTATGTGTAGCAACCACCTAGCAATGCCTAAAGCACCTTTGCAACAGCATAAAAGCATGATAAAAACAGAACACCTCAGCAACATCCTGGCAACCAATTAACAAACACAAAAGCACATTTTCAACCACATAAACACATGCTAAAACACTCAGAACACATAGCAACACCCTGGCAACAATAAGAGCACTTTGGTATTGCAATTTGCATAAAACATGCTAAAAACACTTAGCAACACCCTGGCAACCACCCAGAACACTTTAGCATAATGGAAGAGTCTGTTATTGCCAAATCAATTTAGTAAAAAAAAATTCCCATTTTACTTTGGCAAATCATATACTTTATTAAGTGTGAAATTCCAGTTGATAGCAAATACTTTTTTTGTTTTTCTTTTTAAACATAATGTCTTCCTGTGTGCTCTCTCAGGCCTGGCTGTCATTCACTCTCAGTCTAATGATTATCTGGATGTGGGCAACAACCTGAGAGTGGGAACCAAGCGTTATATGGCACCGGAGGTTTTGGACGAGAGTATTCGTGTTGACGTTTTTGAGTCTTATAAACAAACTGACATCTGGGCCCTAGGTCTCGTCTTGTGGGAGATAACTCGTCGAACTATTGTAAATGGTAAGATGGGGTAATTCTTTAACTTTATTTGGTGGCACCACTGCTATTCTGTGCTCTTGTGACTTGGAATAAATTTTAATTATGCTTCAAAATGTTACATACAGTACTGATACCAAAAACTTTAATATGCCGAGACTTATCAAATAATAATTGGGTAATGTTTCATTGCACATTGCAACTTTCATTGAAAAATTCTCTGACTGCAGGATCTCAATGTTCTAACTAACTTTCTGCCTTCTGTTGCTAAGCAACGATTTTCACCATTCCTAAAGATTTGATAGATTTCTCTATTTATTTTTTTCTCACAAGTTTCTTCGTCTTACTTCCCCTCCATCCCTCCCTCAGTTTTTTCTCCATGGGTACGTCTGTCTCCTCTATCCACCCACGATTAGCGGCCCAATAATTATAAACAATCTTATCTGGTGTCAGCACTCCCGCTCATGTAGTCCAGATGCGCTTGTTCTCTCTCTTTTCTCTCTCTCTCTCACACACACACACTCACTTTTTAAGAAGCATTTAATCAATCCTTTATATATAATTTTTATGTACTATGTACTAACTGTGAAACATTAGTCAAATGCATCTTTCTTGTAGTACAGGATATATCAGTAAGATTTTTTTGTTTTTGAAAGAAGTATTTTGTTCACAAATGTTGCATTTATTTAACTGGCAATACAATTTAAAATAACTGTTTTTATTTGAATACATTTTAAAGTGTAATTTATTCTTGTGACGGCAAGCATTAAATAGCTGAATTTTTAGCAGCATTAATATTATTAATATTTTTGTGGACACTGTAATGCATTTTTTTCAGGATTCTTTGATGAATATAAAGTTCAAAATAACAGCATTTATTTGAAATAGAAAGCTTTTGTAACATTATAAATTTCTGTCACTTTTGATCAATTTAATGCCTCCTTCCTGAATGAAAGAATTAACTTCTATAATTAAAAAAAAATGTTACAGGCTCCAAACTTTTTAAAGTGTAGTGTGTAAATATGTAAGCTTCCAATTTGCATTTTAAAACACTTCTTTATATTTCTTTATATGAACTTCTGTTTTAAGCTATAATAGCTTTTTTAATAGTCTCACTGTAGCTTTTTACCCCATAATATCAGCTGCCATATGCTGCTCATAGACTCGCTGGATAATTTCCAGTCATCCTCCCACAGAAGTATTAGTACTGCCAACCTTAACACTCCCAAACCACTGTTTTATAGATATGGTCAGAAGAGACTTTCAGTCTCGGCACACATCTGCATTTTTGTCAGTAAAAAATTCAAATGCAATGTAGTCAGCAAACGTTGACAAAAACCCATAAATCCCTTAATTCTGTGGTTTTCTCAGGCATTGTGGAGGAGTACAGACCGCCGTTCTTTGACGTGGTGCCCTCTGACCCCAGTTTCGAGGAGATGAAGAAAGTGGTGTGTGTGGACCAACACAGGCCCAGTCTCCACAATCGACTACACTCTCATCCGGTAAGATAGTCAAACATGCCAGAGATACAGACTCAGTGACTCGGAAGACTTGGACTCCAGTCAGACTCTACACAAGGCTTTGCTTTGACAGCTGCAATCTGGAGCAATTTGTTAGGAAAGCATTAAATGTGTGTGGGACAAAATATTCTATCAGTCTTTGATGTCACTGAAAAGAATCTTGTGGGCTTTAATTTTAGGCTTGCTGTAGAGAGCATATTTATTGCATATGCAACATAGAAAATGGATGGAAATTTACATTTATCCTGCTTAATGCTATAATCAAGACAGCTATTCAGCTATTCAGCAGCCATGTGAAGAGTAGCAGACTTGCAGGCTAGTCGCTAAATTTGTTGCGATTTGCACTTGAAAATAATTCTTCCTTTGAGTCCATATCTCTTGTTGAAACTGTTTGTCATATTAGATTGTTTTATGACTGCCACTTCCTACAGTGTATCTACTCAAAATCCAAAAAACGCGAACAACTAACAGTTTTGAAATACACATCCGATATGACGCGTATTTCAAAGCTAGCATGACACATCAACACAGTTCTCACAGAATCCTGTTGTTTTGTGTGAGAAGTTGGTTGATTTGGAATTGAAGTTGAAATCTGGGTCACCGCTTTGTCTATTTTGGTAGATTGATGTGAAATGAACTCCAGACACTTATATTCAAGACAAACATGTGACCATCAGAAATGACAAAATAATGATTATCTGCTTTTTTTGTTTTTTTTTTCTGTCAAGATCCTGTCTGCAGTTGCGAAGATTATGAAAGAGTGCTGGTTCCAAAGCCCTTCAGCTCGACTCACTGCTCTGCGTGTGCGAAAGACCCTCTCCAAACTGGACCAAGACCATGACTACGACATCGACAAGCTCAAACTGGACCTCTAGAATAAACCTCCTGCCACGCATAGCCAAGGAAGTTGAATTCTAATGGACCCACATGACATATTTATCCATCTGAGTACTTTTAGACTCTTTTAATGTGCCTTTCAAGCTTCTTGTCTTAAGGCTCCACTGAACATGGCTTATCTTATCAAGACATTAGTTCACTGTGGGAAGTCGAGGCCATAACTGCACTGTTAAATGTTTCTCCTCAAATATATCCACACGAATGCTTTTCCAGGACCTGCTTATTTCAACACGGTGACTCATTTGTTACTGAAATTAAAACAAGGTGGATGAACCCACAAAATTCTTTTCAGTATAGTGAGAGTGAGAAGTTTTTTTCAGGCAGGATGTGGGTCATTCTGGACTTCCTAACTGCGGTGTTTCCTGAAATTCTTAACTTCCTAAACATGACTGTAACCTAGAAAGGTAGGCACATGCTTTAGACTGTTTGTTGCACTTATTTTGTTGTAGCTATTTTTTTTTTTGGTTCCATGAAAGACTGGACCATCTTTTTAAGAACAAGAACTGCATTACAACTTGCACCAAGTAATTATTAAAACAGAGGACATATTAGTATAGTGCACTTTTATAAATTGTTAAATATTTTTTAAAAGATCAAAATTACAGTCACATTACTCTAGCTGTACTATATATTTTTTATAATGTACAATATAATTGCTTTTTCAAAAAATAATCATCAAAAATGTGTATACAATTTCTTTTGCACAAAATGTCTATTGTTATTTTCACTCCAAATAATAGTATTTAAATATTAATAAATTTCAGGATACTGAAGCTGACTTTGAAATTTTCTCTGCACCAAAAGGGTCTTCAACAAAAAAAATGATCTCAACTACTCTCAAACATTAGATCTCAAACTAATTTTCGTGGGGGAAACAATAAAATAATGATAAAGTGTATAAATATATACATGATAATGTGTATAAATAAACAAATAATTACAAGAAGCTAAATTCACTTAAATGTGTCATTGAACATTAACATGTAGTTTTGTCCACTAGAGGGCATCATTAATTGCTCTTTTCTCCCCCAAAGTGTTACATTGGGTTCTTGTAGCCTTTTCTTTTCTCTCAACACAGCAAACTGTGCCATAGCCTGATCTGGTTAATGAATACAGCATCACTTCAGAAGTCCTTAAGGAGATATAAGGGATCTATTTTCTTTTGCCTCAATCCATTTCTTATAAACCATAGACAATGTGTATCCTGTCTTACAAGCCACGCAATCTCGCAATTGTTATAGAATTGTTGTTCGGCATGAGAGACACTAAAAGACCTGATACCCCTCGGGAACTACCAAGACACACCTCGGTGTTGTTGAACAACATTTCACGGATACAATACTGAATGCATCCTTCACTATCATGTTTCAGACAGACCTATATTTACCCGGTGCAAGTAGATATCTCACGTATCTTATTCATAGAAACTTTCCAGTATAACTCCCTTCCTACGCACACCGACACGCAGAGAAGGCCAAAAGAGCAGATGTTCCACTGATTGATGGATATTTATAAGATGTTTATCTCGGTTTTTTTTCCTGAGCCAGTTTCCCTTCAGCGTGTCGCATTTGTCTTGCTGTCAGACTGCATGGCGGAGTGAGAGGATGGGCATTGATTTCTGTCTGCCTGTTTATCTATATCTGCGCCCTTGCTATATCCATCTGTGGAGAAGCACAGAGAGGGGGCTTTGCTGGAGATAATTCCCAAACTCTGCCTGTCCGGTCAGACAGAGAGAGGGTTATGTTTAACAGGCGCACAGTGGCTGAGTAGAGTATCAGTGCCCTGCTCTGGTAGGTCCTTCTATCAGCTGTGACATTTTACACAGAGCGGACCCATTCCACATGCCTTTGTTTGGAAAACTCGGATATGAACGCCCTGCTGAAATATGTGGATTGGTAATTGAAAGATATGACCCTACTTTATAGACAATAGACAGCCAGGGACCAGATTAGTATGCAGTCTAGCAAAGGCAAAGAGGTTAATGGTAACAATAGAGGTTTAAGACTGCAGGCCGCAACTCTAAACGCTTTGTGTTTGACCTTTGCGTTGAGAGCGACTTGAAAGGAATTTCAGTGTAATTAGATTAGGTCTTGTACATCATTCTTTATGTACCCATACGGCTTAATGCACTAACTGAGAGTCTCCTCGTGTCATGCGGCCATTAAGAGGACAAATACTGAGTGCATCAAATGTCTCTTTATTCCTCAAAATTAAAATCACAAGTTCTCCTCTGCCCTGCTATTTAGAGGAAGTAAACATCCTGAAGTCCTGGCAGAAGCCAGAGCGCTCCTATAGGAATATGTTTGACTTGTTTCCCTAAAGACGCAATTTCCTTTTTCATACTAGATGAAGTCAAGAACTTATTTTTTTGTAATCAGTGATTTGTTATGAGGGTCTGAGGTCTCTTAAGCTTAGCCCATGCTGTGGTTTTTGTGGGAGTCCTGAATGCTTTTCGTGTTGCTCACAGGGGTTCTGTAAGCTCTTTTGGATCACACACATCGCACAATGTGGGTCCAGCTCAAAAAGGTAACTTTGGCTCCGGAGTCAAATTATTAATGCTGAGACTCTGGAGAATAGTGAACACCTCCTGCTGGATCACTACTACGACGTGATCCAAAAGCTGCAAATGTGTCACTGCTTTCATACACGTCAGGCCTTAAAATGTTCTCATTAAAAAATAAAAAATGTTCTCTCATTAAACAAACTATTCTGTAATAATGAATGTGCGTGTAAAGCACATTTTATGATTTATGATTTACTCATCACTGATTCTTGAAACATGAGACATAACATTCTAGTTTTTAAAAATGATTTTATTCATTTTAATTTTCTTCCAATTGCAACACTTTTTAAATTTCATTTAAATATTTTTATTACATTTTTAAATACATTTTAACAAATAAGAAAATAAAGTTCCTGTGTTTAATAAATGTGATATCACTCACAATTATGGCTGTTTTATCAACAACATCAGATAAATCAAAATTTCTAAACAGTTTTGTCCCAGTTTTCAAGAATCAGTGTTACTTGTCTTAATTCGTCCATGTTAAAGCCACAAGATACATTTCTGGAACATATGACACAGAATAAATAAAAACAAACCTGATGAGACCTCAACTACAGACAGGACCATCGGGCCAATTCACAAATGAGTCCTTGTAAAGAGACATTTCACCACAACAAAGGAGCCCAAGCGTGGAGCCCTCCCCTTTAAAACTAGTCACACCCCTTTAACCCACTATTGTCTAGCCGAGCCTGGCAGGCGGTGTGTGTATGGTTGGTTGGTTTGTGGTTGTGTTGGAAGTCTCGCTCGCTTGTCAATATCACACACAACGAATGCATTAATGCTAAGAGATGGGAATCTTGCAGTCATGTTTCCACGACGAACTGCTGTAGCGCTGCTCGCCGTGTGTGGATTAATAGCAGTCGGCGATGGTGAGTCGGTTGTTTGTGTGTGTGTCACCTCTCTCTGTGTGTATTTATTTGATAGGCTGCTGGTGTGTGGAGAGAGAGTGTGGCCAGGCTGTGCTGTGTTGTGCTGGACGGGGCAGCCTGGCGCTCATCATGGCGCTGTGTCTGGGGTTTGTAAACCAGTCATCTGTACCGTAAATCATTTCTTATTCATATATAACTAGTGTTGTATTTTGAATTGCGCTTCATTCGTGGCACCTAATTGATGTTTGTATGTATCATTTCTGAGGTTCGTCTATTAGGGTAGGATTTAACCGCGTTGCTCGTTGTCCCTTTTTAATAAAACATTAGCCAAATACATTATATATATATATATATATATATGTATATATTACACTTTTCCCTCTTTACATACAGGCCTGCTGTCCCTTGCAAATAAAATGCATGCATTTAAGCTTACGTTACAGTGAAGTGTGGCATGTGTGCTCAAACCTCCAGTATTTCACATGACTTCATATAACTGACGTCAGATGTTGCAAAACTTACATTAATAAACTTGCAACGCCAACCTCCCCCGGCGGTTTGCACGTTGTGACGAGCCATGTCCCCCTATTCGTAAATTAATCGCGCTACTGATTCGAATCTTTTTAATTAATCGGTTGAATCGGTTCACGTTCACACTACCGGTCTGAAGGATTTGTTCGCGAACAGGACCGCTTTTCGAGTTCCAAACTCACCATCCGTCTCTTTCGGATATGGTCGATTCGTAAAAGAAAAACTAGCAGAATGTTTGTGCAGCACGTAATACCATACTAGAGTGTCAGGAACCACATGATGACGTAAATACGTCATGACGTAAAATGATAGGTATTCGATTTAGAAAAATGTTCCTAACAAAGCGATTCGTCATGACTTAAATTAATCACAGAATCGTTTTTGTATGCGATTTTCTTGCTGATTTTTTTTTTTTTTACTTCAAGTAATAAAAATGTTAATAAAAATGTTTAAAACTGAAATTATATAAGGTGTTGTTAAATCCTTGGATATATTTTACTTTGATGCTTTACTTCCATCCATTGTTGATGACTGACATGTTTCTATGATTTTTCATTTTATACAGAACAAAGAACTTTTAAGTTCAGAAAAATGTTCGAAAGAACCGATTCGCAGAAATGAGTCTAACTTCCCATTACTAGTTGTGACATGTAACTCAACATGAATTCCAGTGATTCATTTAAAAATGACCAGCCTTGTTTGTAGCTACATGTTAGATTATATCATAAATGTTGTTGACAGTACATCGTTTGCTGTGGTATATCCTGTTTACAAAACAGTCTGGTGGTGTTTCTTAACATTAATCAGCATTGTGTATTTCGACTGGCGAAAAAAGTCCTCATTGACCCCATTGCTATTGCCAAGCCATAAGGCCTAAAATATTGCAAATTTCTTAATTTATTCACATATTTTACTGGTTCTAGAAAACCAGTGTTGTGTTTTATAACCCCTGGCAAGTACATATTTGTTGTAGAGTACGATGGGAAGCTGGTCATTCAGCAAGTTCAGACTCAAGTCAGATTTGGAGTGGCCCTGCTCTCCAACATTTACGTTTGGTGAAAAACTCTTCAGGAATGACACAATAACCCATTCAAACTTACATTTTATGAGTGACTCACTTGTAGGCCTGTCGCAATAATCAATATATCGACTTATCGCGCAATATATGTACATGACCTCAATAATTTTTGATGACGCAATATATCGCAATATATACGTCACCGTGTTTTTTACATTCCACTTGCACCTGAGCCTTTTGCAGCTTCTCGATTCAGTGGCATAAAATGGTCTTTAAAATGACAATAATATGGCTTCTCGCAATTATATCTGGGGCAATATATCACACAACAAAAAGTTGTTATCGTGACAGGCCTACTCACTTGCTTACAAGAAATGACCATTCATTTGTTCCACTTCTCATAACAACAGCCGCAAAGTGGAAAAAGTGAGTTAAAGGAATAGGTCACCCAAAGTGAAAATTCTCACCCTCAGGTCATCCAGGATGTTGATGAGTTTCTTCAACGGAACAGATTTGGAGAAATTTAGCATTTCATCACTTGCTCACCAATGGATCCTCTGCACTGAATGGGTGCTGTCAAAATGAGAGTCCAAACTGCTAATAAAAACATCACAATAATTCAAAAGTAATCCACATGACTCCAGTCCATCAATTAATGTCTTGTGAAATGAAAAGCTGTGTGTTTGTAAGTCTTTCTCCAATGAAAATTTGTCTTGTCTGAATCAGGAGAGAAATATGCACAGATCAAGCATTTAGAAGCAGAAACAGTCCAGAACAGTTCTAAATAAATACAGTGGATTTTGATGTGACAGGACAACAGGGGATGGACTTTTTCACTGCATTAATTGATGGACTGAAGTCACGTGGATTACTTGTGGATTATTGTGATGTTTTTATCAGCTGTTTGGACTCTCATTCTGACGGCACCCATTCACTGCAGAGGATCCTCTGGTAAGGGTGATGTAATGCTAAATTTCTCCAAATCTGTTATGACGAAGAAACAAACTCATCTACATCTTGGTTGGTCTGAGGGTGAGAATTATGCGAATTAATGCAAATTTTTAAATCTAGTACATTTTTTATTTTTAGATGTTTATTAACACATACAATTACAATATAGATATTCTTGGGTGACCATACGTGCCATTTTCCCAGGACGCGTCCTGGCCAGGATTTCTATATTACCTAAAATATCTAGGGTTTGGCTTCGTTTGCGTGTGCAGACCGATCGGTGTATGACATCGGTTCCTTGTGTTTTCGAAACGCTGTCGAGGTACTTTGAATCAAAGCAATATAGAAATCCTGGCCAGGACGCGTCCTGGGAAAATGGCACGTATGGTCACCCTAAGATATTCTGAACCTCAGAGTCTTTGAACTTGTGTTGTGAAGGCAAGAAGGAGCAGACATTTGAAGCCTGTATCGCAGGAGGGCCCCAGGTGCTTTGAGAGTGCTGTTATGGAAATGAAAGGGAGCACATTAAGCCATATTTTGCATGTGTGTGCTTGTATATAAGATCAGAGAATGGAAAGTGTAGCAAAGAAAGATATGTGGGTTCATGTGGAGTGTGTGTGCGTGCGAGTATGTGTCTGGGGAGGCCGGCTGCTGGGGTTGAGTCCTTGGTCACAGCCGACTGAAGCTGGTCTCCACTTCATTAATGACCTTGCTAATGACCTGAATGGCCGGCGGGCAGTACTGATTACATTGAGAGACAGACCTTTGTTTGACCTACATTATAGTGCATGTTTAGAAATAGTAAATTTAATTGACTTTTTTCCCTTAGTACTAAAATCATTATCTTGCAGCTATATTTTCTTTTTATTTTGTATTGTAATACGCTTAAAGGTATAATTCTGTTATTGCTTACTCACCCTCATGTCATTCCAAACCCGTATAGCATTATATTTCCATCAGACATTGTTGAAGTATCGTTACGCAGCTCAACCATCAAGTTCCAAAAAGTTCCATTAAAAACTGTAAAAGCAATGCGACTTAAGAATTTTCATTTTCGAGTGAAAAGACATTTCTATTACAAACTATTTAAATTTTAAATAAATGCTGTTCTTTTGAAATTTCTATTCATCAAAGAATCCTGGAAAAAATTTATTTAAGTTTTCATAAAAAATATTAAGCTGCACAACTGTTTTCAACATTCATAACAATAAGAAATGTGTATTGAGCACCTAATCAGCATATTAGAGTGATTTCTGAAGGATCATGTGACACTGAAGAATAAATTACATTTTAAAATAAATAAAAATAGAAAATAGTTATTTTAAATTGTAATAATAGTACTGTTTTACTGAATTTTATTGATCAACTAAACGCAGCATTGGTGAGCACGAGAGGAGACTATAAAATCTTAGGCCGGAAACTTTTGAATGGTAGTGTATCTATTTAAAACTAATGCACCTCTTACACTTGTCAGAAAGAACTCTATTTTTTTGTCGCATTAAATGGTTCGAGTCTGCTGCCCTTTAAAAGAGAAAAAAACTCTGAATGTTTTCAGGGGGAAAAGAGATTCATACCTCTGGACCAGATGAGTAATTTGACCATGAGGGTTCTGAAGAAGCTCCCCTTCCTTTCACTGCATTGATTTTGTGAGTGTAGTTCGACGTGTGTTTTAGAGTGCATGTCTGTGTGAGTGTGTGTGTGCGCTCTGTCTGGTGGCGTCGGCATGTCTTAATCAGCTCCCTGTCTGGGTGCTCAGTGGATCTCATTTCAGCTCTATGTATCTTGGGTAACTGCACTCTCTCAGTCTGCCTGCTCTCAGTAGCCCCTGGCATCTTGCTAGAAGAGGAGGATGATGGGCTTTCATTATCCAGAGGAGGTGAAGCAAGAGATAATGCCTCCACTGCTCTGGCCATCCATTTGTAATAGATATGAGAGGACTGCTTGTGTTGCAGGGGGCAATATTTGCCTCTGAGTGTTTAAACCACAAACCCTGTGAGCTCTTAATCCTCGCTTTGACCCCAACATGGAAAGCTGGTACTCCTGAAGGAGTTGTTGTGAAATTTGTGTTCCATAGTGAAGGCTTTAGTCACAGTGCCGGTAATGTGAAGTTGTTTGCGGCTTCATCATTGACAAGACTTCCTATGAGCCCCGCTCTGATCAGCCAAGCACACTGTTAATGGCAGCGATTTCATTCACGTCTTCCCGCAATGGTTTTCATTTCCTGCCTGAACAAGAATGGAATGATAGGAACTTCACACTGGCAGTGAGATTTTGATGTCATCCTTTACTGAATTCCCCCTTTTCTGTTGGGTTAAGCCAAGTCTAGACTAGGGTTTTAAGGTCTATCGCAGCTAGTCCCTCGGCTGAAATCCTGTCACAGCTGGGGGTTCTGTAAGTCGTCCTCTGTTACCTCTCTGTGTTCTGTCCTGGCGTATCTGTTTCACCGGCAGCTCTTAAAAGCATGTCAGGGGAGTCCCCTACCCCCAGCCACTCTAACAGT